ATTTATGCGCTTTTTTAAAATCACGGTTCCGAACGTAGTCGGATACCTTAAAAATTTGCCACTGGAACAAAATTTTATTGATTTCATTATTTTTTTTTCTTTCGAAAATGAATGGATTTTGGATGAAAAAAGTAAAACGAAGAACGATTATGGTTGCTGGTCGTCATTACTTTGTACATGGAATACATTACGCATTGCTTCAGGAAATGAATATGGAAAAAAACACACAAATATTTCTTTGGTATGTTAATATAAACCATACCTCGCTTAGCATGATTAATTGGTTCATCTAAAATACTGCATAAAGGGAACCATTATTTCCAGAGAAAAATATAATTAATTCGTTCCTATCAAATTTTGTCAAAACAAAAATACAGTAGAGTCCCTAAAACATAACACACTCGATAACACGGCAGTCAGGATAACTCGGACTTTCTATTCCTTCGTCGTCTTAGTGACGAAGCAGCAAAACGAAGAGTGCTGTACGGAAGATAAAACAGGACATTACGCATTTCTTTAAAAGAAACAATCCAGTTTCTGCAACGTCGTTCCTTAATTATTACTATAGACAGCTTCACAAAGTATTTTTCTGAGGTGTGTCTGATGAGGTAAATTGTTGTGTATTATGTATCATTAACTTTCCTTTTCAAGTTCATAATTTTCCTTTGCTTAAACCTGGAGCGGGCGCGCGGGGCACAGAGTCACTTAAGGCTCACGAAATCGTTAATTTTGGAAAAACTGTTTATTTGTTACCAATGACCTTGACAGTATCCAACTATATGACAGTCTTCATGGGAAATAAAATGTATTTGTTACATATCTCCCTCTTTTTTGAGAGTGGCAAACATTTTTTTTACCATCTTAAGGAACTTGTTTTGACTGAGTTCCCCACGCGACCACTTTTGTTCCAAAATATTTTCTATGAACAGGCTACATTTTTCTCCTGTGAATAACATAGTGGTTTTCCTTGTTGTGTTGTACACTACAGTAGAACGTCGTTTATCCGAATCAATCGGGACCGGACACCGTTCGGATAACCCACTTGAATAAACGTGGACTTCGGTTAAACGTGCTTGATGAAAAAGCAATATAAGTGCAAAATATCACTTGATTGATTGATTGAATATTAACGTCGCACTGTTCAGCTGCCCGAGGGCTTTTGGCGACGGACCACGTAATTTTGAACCATGGTCA